TTTACTTAATGGAAACATACCCCAGGAAATGTGTTAGGTTATATGATCAGACTGATAATCCTAGGCTAATAAAAAACACTTTGCACCACTGGATGCTCCTATTAATTTCGTTGCCAGGGCTTTCTTCCCTTAAGGAGCAAAGGATACATTTTGGCACAAGTTTATCTGTGGTTATAGTTAAATAGTCTATGTATAGATAGAGCTGCCTAAATGGAAAATTCATAATGCTTCTCAGAAATAAGATCCATGATTTGCAGCTTCCCTACAAATGGAAATTCTGGAACATAAAATTACCTTCTCTTTAGTTTTTAATAAAATGTTATGTTCTTTTCAGTTACTTCTTTTAAGCACATTTTTACCAGCATAAGATGCAAGCAAAATATTTGAGTCATTTATATGAACTATGCAGATGAATTGACTCATTTTTATTCTGTTTAGTGGAAGTGCCCCTAATCACAGCAAAACACTTCTCAGAGGGAAACAGCAGAAGAAAAGAAACAGCCTTTGTCACAATTTTAAATTGTGGCCACATTACTTAAGTGTTCTGTGTCAATACATCAGCTATAAACTAATTATACCAATTCTCCTGCCTGTTTCCCTAATGACCAACAGAATAAATATATTATTTTTTATTCACAAATATTTATACAGCTCCTTCCCAGGCACTGTTGTTGTTGTTGTTGTTGCTAAATGCTGTTGAGTCAGTTCCCACTCATAGAGACTCTGTATAGGGTTTCCAAAGAGCAGCTAGTGGACTTGAACCACCGACCTTGTAGTCAGCAGGCCAGTTTTTATCCTACAGTGCCACACCAGGACTCCACTGTAGCATATATTAACCTGGTTTTATATTGTTGTTGTTAAGTGCCATGCAGTCGGTTCTGACTCATTGTTCTTGTTGTTGTTAAATGTCCTTGAGTTAGTCCGACCCAAAGTGACCCTGTATGAAGTTTTCAAGGAACAGCTGGTGAGCTTGAACCACTAACCTTGCAGATCAAGCCAGCTTTGCAGTCCAATCTTTTAACCCACAGTGCCACAACAGGACTCTCTCCCAGTTATAACCACCCTGTATAAGGTTTCCAAGGAGCAACTGGTGGGTTTGAACTGCAGACCTAATGGTTTGCAGTCCAGTGCTGATCCTACAGTGCCACACCACACCAAGACTCCTAGATTAAGATAGGGAAATAAAATACACTTATTTAATAATAAATGTGAAATAAGATAAGAAAAAATAAAGGAGTAAGTGATCCAAGCCAAAAAGAAGGTGCAAAAAAAGAAAAAGACTGCAATACAAAGTTAAAGGGAAACTAGAATATTTCAGATGGAAAAATCAAGAAAGATGATGAAAATGTTGCCATTCGAGCCGGATCTTCAGGGATAGTTACAACTCACACAGAGAGGAAGGGCATTCCACGCAGCAGGGACAGCTTGGAGCAAGAGACTGTGGTGAGGAAAGAGGTGAGCAACAGAACAAAATCATATTTGTCTACAGTGTAAAGTCACATGATGGACGATAACTAGAAAGATTAGTTGAATCTGGTGATCCTTGAAGGCCATATTAAGTCAGATAGATAGTTCCTCATACTTGGGATAAAAAATTGCTGTGTGAAGCATTACAAAAAAATTTCATTATTTATCCCAGTGATAGAGCAGACATTTTCCAAATAGCAGAGTGCAAGGAGATAGCACCATGGATAGACTATCTAATCTCAGACATTTTTCTTCTTGAGAAAGAGCACATATAAAGATATACCATTCACTGGCCAGCCAAAAGGGAGACCTAAAATTAGCAGCAATATTTATAGCAGTTGATTACGCTCAATTTCTCTTGCATCAACTTGATACATTCTTTGGGTTTTTGATATAGCAAAAAATAAGTGTATTTTTATTTTTTATTTTGTCGCTGTTGAGAATATGCACAGCAATACATACACTAATTCAACAGTTTCTACATGAAAAATTTAGTCATGATCACATTTTTGAGTTGTGCAACCATTCTCACCTTCCTGGTGTGGCGCTGTGGGTTAATGCGCCAGACTGCAAAACCATTTGAACTGCAAGGTCGGTGGTTCAAGCTCACCAGATGCTCCTCGGAAACCCTACACATGGTCGCTATGGGTCAGAACCAATTCGACACCACTTCACAACAACAACCTCTAAGTTGTTCCTTTCTGTTGACACAAATCCACTGCCCTTTAAGGTTCCTATCTAATTTTTTGAGTTGTCATTGTCAGTTTGATCCCATACATTGTTTGTTAAGTGCCTTTGAGTCAGTTCCAAGTCATCTTGATGCTGTATACAGTTTACTAGGAGTGGCTGGTGAGTTTGAACCACCACTGTCCTGTGCTTATCCTAGTTCTTAAAATAGCATGAATTTCAAGGCAGACCTGCTTTTACTAGTTAAGCTAAACTACTGTTCACTTTTAAGATGACTTCAGGGGATATTTTTGGTTTAAGGGTTAAAGATTATCTCAGGGCCATAGTTTCAGAGTTCACCTTTATGGTTCCCAAAAGTCCGTGAGAATTTGAAATTCTAGTCTGCATATTCCCCCTTTTGATCAGGATTCTTCTACAGAATCTTTGATAGATATTCAGTAATGGTAGCTGGGCACCGTCCACTTCTTGTCTCATGGCAAAGAAAGCTGTTGTATGTAGAAACAATTAACCACATAGTCTATCTTCTCCTATTCCTAACTCTCCTTCCTCTTTTTCTGTAGATGAATAGAAACCAATTGTTGTGCCTTAGATAGTTGCTTGCAAACTTTTAAGAGTCCAGGTTGTTATTGTTGTTGTTAAGTGCTGTCGAGTCGGTTCCGACTCATAGCGACCCTTGAAAACAGTGTTTCCAAGGCTGTAAATCTTTACGGGAGCAGAACGTCTCATCTTTCTCCCACGGAATAGCTGGTCATTTCAAACTGATGACCTTGCAATTAGCAGCCCGATTCATAACCACTACACTACCAGAGCTCCTCTACACAGCAAATAGGAGGTAACACTGAAGAAATAAACCCATTATTGGGCCAATTAACTGGAATATCCCATGAAACCATGACCCTAAACCTCCAAACCAAGAAACTAAATTCCATGAGGTGTTGTATGTAAGCAACTTCTGCAGTCACTCTTTTAAAGTTGTTTTTGTAAATATACCTATCACACAATTTTTGCCAATTCAACTTTTTACAGATGTACAACTTATTGGCAGCAGTCACCATCATGAGCTATGTAACCCTACTCTTTATCAATGCAATTTTTCCATTACCATACTCAGAGTTCTCTTCAGATTCTATACATCTTTTAACTATTCTATAAACCCCAAAATTCTAAAAGCCTATAAATTCTATAAACCTTTTAACTATTAGTTTTAAGTGGCACTGAAATGTTTTTACTTGTTTTTTACTAATTATTATCAATTGTACTCTAGACAATGAAGTAATATCAGAACCGGAGGCCATTTTGATGAGGATTAGATATAAACCTATGATAATGTGATAATAGATACTCTGTCTTTTTATTGTTTCCTTAATTATAGGTGACTGAGGTTAGAGTTTTATCCAAAGGGAGTTCCCATCACCTCATCACCTTATTGTCTTTCTCTTCACTCACAGACTAATTCTCAGTGCTTCCTTTCTAATTAACAATTAAACTATGTCTAGTGCCTATTAAGAATGCAACACAGAACATGGCTATGAGCATTTTTAATAAAAGTTTATTAAATGGATGACTTAATGAATAGGTGTGTTAGGCTCATGGTAGAACAACAAACTATATCTCCGCGAGGCAGTAGGAAACGCTAGAGGAAATACCACAGGTAGCAATTTAAATTGTCTGGAACTTAGTTCAAATATTCCACAATAAACAATAAGAACTAATGGCATCACTTGCGAATATTTCAGCATCAATAATAAGTAAATTAATGTCAATGTTCAGAAACCAAGAGCAAATTGCTACAGTGGAGTTACTAGGTTAGACAATGCTGGTTTAGTCATGCTTAGACTAAAATAATTTGGGGATTAAACAAATTCAGTACTTCTTATTCACCTTCCTACTATACAGAGTTTCTATGAATTGGAATTGACTTGACAGTACTTAACAACAAAAACTATGATCAGATAACATTAGTCATATTTTAGACAAGCTGATCAACATAACCGTCAAATCATGTCTGTCCACATTTCGTTAAAATATAACAACAAAAATACTTCCTCCTAACCAATCGAATACACTATGCAAATATTAATCACCTACAATGTGCATGGAATTGAGTGAAAAAAAAAAACAGGCAGATGGAACTATGAGGGACCTTCAAAAAGTTGGTAGAAAAATTCTGTTACCTTTCTATTTCGTTTTCCATGAAAACTTTGAAGTCTCTTTATATTTCTGGTTCTTTTATTAGGAAATAATCAGATTTTCTTTCATATTACCGCTTTTTCTATTGGTGTTAAGTATCAGGGAGTTGGTTCTGATTCATAGAGAATCTGTATAGGGTTTTCCAAGGACTGGTTAGTGGTTTTAAACTGATGACAGTTCAATGCTTATCAAACAGCTCCACACCAGAACTCCTATTACCTCTGTACCCACACCGTTATTCCTTATTATTCACCTCAAAAACTAAAAAAATCACATTATAGTTTCTACTTTCCCTACTGCTTGTGAGAATAAATAACTCATATTCTAATAGCTTTCATTCTTTGACCTGGGAATATTATCGTAGGCATTTTTAAAAACAAAAATTTAAAAAAAAGTTTTGTTTGCTTTAAAAAAAAAAATTATTTCAATTTGATTAGTGTGGCATCGATAGCTTTCACTTCAAGCCATCAAAACTTAGCACAACCAAATTCATGTGATAAAGAAATATCCTACAAATACGCTATGTGCACTGCTTTTTATGAAAAGTGTTCTTCATGACTGTAAGAGCATACATAAATAAACTATTGTATACACTTCATAAAACACACCACCACCAAAAACAGAGTAATAAATACATTTTTCTACGTTAACAGTACCTTCACTGTCCACATTCCAGCTTCTGGCTCTTTTACATTCACCACCTTGGCAGAATTATGGATATTTAAGAGCTCATTCAAGCCAAATCCCTTTTTTATCAGCTTTCCTGAAAGACATAAAGGACACAAGCATAATATTTCTCCCAGCTAGGCATAGTAGTTAATTTAACATTACATAAATCTAAGAGCAGGATCAGATTTCAAATGAAACAGAAGCATTTTTTACTCAAGTGTGCTGTAAACTGACCTGAAGAATTATTGTTTTCTATCCCAGGGATCAAAATAAGGACACTGTATTTCTATTACAAATTACCTGGTAGACATGAATGCCCAGAGTTCAAAATGTTGTTTTATTTATACCTAAATTGTACTTGATTTTAAGGTTTCCAGGCACTGGAATTGAAGCAACAGATTCCCAATTGGTATGCAGATTTGATCTTTAAATGAGAATTTCCATTGGCAGACTGCTCATCTTTCTGAAGCCAGTCTAGATAACAATTACTACGGCTTCTGAGAATTATGTGCTTTCACCAGAGGCATGTAGATTAAACAGATGGCAAACAGAATAAACCAGAGTAAATGACTTTTCTGGAGATCATTCAGGATATTATTAACATGAGGGCCTTGAGTATATCTTTGCACCGAGTACAAAACCTTACCAGTTTTCCACCATGCACACAGATTGTCTTTTAAGTGGCATAATAATAACAAAAGGAGGAGGTGTATCCAAGTAACATTATACCATCTCCTGCTGACCTGACCTTTATCTAAACTATCTAATAGTTGAGAGTTGTGGAGGAAGAAAAGCAAATTTGGAATTTAGCCATGGTTTGGTTATTCATTATACCCTTGGCTATTTTATGCACTATTTTTTAATTGATATAAACAAATCAGTTATAACAATTCCATGTTTACATTACTAATTTTACAATCGTATATTCAATGACCTTTTAAAGGGATGGAAACATAATACATTGGATACAGATACTTTTACTATCCAGGTAGTAGGAAAAACAAATATCTTCCCGGGGAGTACAGACTTTATTCGAGTGGAATGCTGCATCAATGTTGTTGTTTTTGTGTCTTTGAGTCAGTTCCAACTCACAGCTACCCTGTATAAGGTTTCCGAGGAGCAACTGGACAGATTGAACTGTTGATCTTGCAGTTCAAACCAACCTTGTGGTCCATTGCTTATCCTATAGCATCATACCCTGACTCCATTTTTAAACATAAATCTGTAGAAGTTTTAAGAAAAAGTTTTGTTTGCTTTAAAAAAAAAAAATAAATAAAA